ATTAAAGGGAAACTTTTTTTTGGTCAATTTTATTTGTTTGTTATGTTTAAGGTGATTGTAGCCGTATTAGTATGTTAGTGCAAATAAAAAAAGTATCACGGACAGTACTCAATTGTTTTTGTTATGTTTAGAAATTCATAATCTGATTTTACTCTTTAGGATCTTTATCCACTGCTGGAATAAAATCTTTATTTCACAAAAAAGCAATTTAAAGAACATGGTTAGCTTTTGAATTAGAAAACCCAGTACTACCTGTTCATATGTTGAAAGTTTATTAGACAATAAATTTGGTCCCATGTTAGCTACAGACAGGCAGATAGATGTGTCCCTCCTCTGAATCATTCAGTGATGTGTTATGATTAGACTCGAGTAACAGGAGATTGAATTACTTTCAGCATTTTCAACATAATATAAGTGTGGAAAAGAATTCTTACAATTCCAGTCTTCATCGTGAGCAAAACTGTCTAGAAAAAACATGGTTCACAAAGCTAGGAATCCACCCCAATCTGCTCATAGGGATTCCCAGTGAAACCAGCTTTAGCGAAGGTTCCCTAAATAACAGGAAAGACTTATTTATGTTTTCAGATAGACTTTGCAATTTGACCTTACCATAACTGTTTATGTAACCGTGGAGTCACATACCTCCCATCATACACTTTTTTAGGCAACATAACCAGTTTTGAGCCACTGTTTTACATATCTTTCCAATCTGTTCAAACTTGTGTAGTGAAGCACTTTTGCAACCAGACAGTAAACCTTGTACAGAGCATCGGCGTTACCTTGTCAACTTCCTGTACTATGTTCCCCATGAACTTAAATTTCTGTAATGCCAAGAACCACTGGGCGACTCTAGAATTTCCTTCTTTATTATGAGTCATTCACTTGAGAAGGTAATGGTCTGTAATGAGCCTGAACTGCTGTTTTAACAAATATTGATTTTAGGTTTTCAAGCACCCACATGAGGATCAAACATTCTTTCCCCAAAATATATGTTCCCCAGGAGTCAACTTTCTGCTAAGCCACATTTACCACCTGCAACAAAACTGCTCCTAAGCCTACCTCCAATACATCGGTTTGCACCATAAGCTCCTGATTAAAGTGGAGGTAATCATTGCTAGGCATCTAGATAGGACTGTTTCATGCCATGAAAGACCCTCCCTGCCCAGGTGATCATTGTGGATTTGCTTTCTTTTTTGAGGTCTGTGAAAGGGGCTGCCACTGCTGCAAAATTGTGTACAATCCTCCTCTAGTAGCTTACTTGAGATTTTGCCAGAAATTTACTTTTAATTGTCAGGATCAATACAAGCACTCTATCATCAGGACTATGGGGCAGAACTTTGGTAGAGCATTTATACACCTAAGTCTAAGCCAGCAGGGTTTGTTGTAAATGGACTTTAACCATGGGCATAACCTTTTTCATGCTGTCTTGCATTTGGTCTAACCTTTTTAGAGTGGATGCCTTCTGTCTCACGGAATATTTAGCAATGTTGAAAAGACATCTCAAATGTCAGCCCATGGAGACTTGCAGTGCCCTCTCTATGGCAAAAATGGGATAAGGAACCAATGTTTGCCATTAGTAGCCTCTATCAGTTTGAATATCCCCCTCAGATTCTTTTCTAAAAGGCTGTCAGTTTGAAGGTGACATGCAGTAGTGTAAACTGTTTTGTAGCTTTTCATATAAAGGGTGAGCTCTGGTCTGTTGGGATGCCCTTTGAGAACCCAACATGGGTAATTATTAGAATAAGTACCTGAGCCATGCTTTTTGCTAAAGGATGTTTTTAAAGAATTGTATCTGGATATTAGGTGACAAAATCTATGACCACAAGGATATGCTGGTTTCCCTTACTTGACCAGAGGACCAAAATAGATCCATGACAATCCTTTCATAGGGTATTTCAATAACAGGTAAAGATGCCAGACAGCTTCTGAAATGAGAAACTGGAGCAGTGATCTGAAACATGAAGCAGGGATCATTATACATGTTCACACTTTGTTCCCCTGGCCAGTAAAACCTGTGCAATACCCAATCTTTGTTTTTATCGTATCACAAATATCCTCCCAAAACATAGGAATGAGCCAAATCAAGCACCGTGAATTGTGAAATTACAATTTGGTTGACTCTTTCTCCTTGTATCTTATACACCTGATGCAACAGGTCATTTTTCAAGTGTAATAACAATTTTATCGACTACTGGCTCTTGGAGCACCCCATTAAATATTTTACCTGCTCCCTTACAGGGTTTTGGGTGGGGTCCCTTAATTGAGCTGATATTACAAGATAACAGCAGATCAGGTAATTCTATCTCTGGTATATAAAAACAATATTAGTCTGTCCTGCCTAAATATAAACAAGGGTGACAAGCTGGTATAAGAATACCCTAATGTACACAAAGATATCATAAATAAATCACAGTGCTAAAAAAATCTAATATATGTGCTCACCATCCCCTGTGGTAACAGTAATTATACTCATGTATATATATATATAAATGTCCAGAATAAATTATCTATATCCATCTATAAATACACAATATAACCCATATTAAAAATGCATACAAATCTTCCAGTTGTTAACTGTGCAAAGCTTCACTTAAAGGGAAATTAATGAATAAAAAGATATACAAACAAAAAATGTGCAACCTATTTCCTTTGCTCAGGTATCAAATCAACTTTACCAGTTGTACTATTAATAAATAATTGAACAAACAGCCAAAACAAATCTACCCCACTAAAGTATTATTTGTGTTAATATATGACTATAAAGTACCCCCCAACACACCCCTCTTACCCTAATTAAAGTACTTGTGAAAAAAAGACCAAAGTAATCTATAAGCAAGTACAGTCTATTTGGTGCAATTTATCATTTCCACAGTTTTAAAGGTACAGACAAGTTCAGGAATGATTCAAAGTGCATTCTTTATAGTGTAATCAATTTTTTCCACAGTTCGAAAGTACAGACAAGCGCAGCTTGAATTCACTGCTTGCAATAAGATTATTAACTGTTTATCCTTAGATCAGTGCTGCAAAACCAGAGAATGGCGTCCACGCTTCCACCTCCACACACTTACCCCAGTAGAAGTTGACTCACAGATCTAAATTGATCATGTAAACTAAATAGTAGGTCATAAGAGCATTGTAGACCAGATATCCTTTATTCAATTCTGTAATCATTCCCTTCCCAGGGTTAACAGGACAGGCTTCATCAATATATAAAATAAAGCAAGCAAAAGGGAAACCATTTTTTAATTCAAATCTTAAAATCCAGCATTAACAATTTCAATGCACTAGTGCTCACCCAGCAGTGAGGGCAAGAGGGTAAGCAGGTTTTCCCCTGCAAGGTAATATCATAATGTGCTAGTATGCATCTTATACTTACCTGAGAATGAAGCCCTCCTGTCACTGCTGCAGAGGCTTCCATCGTCACCCGGTCTTCATTCTGGGTTCCTTGGCTGCAGCCACTTGAATAGCCGAAGTTGCAATGTCACTTCCATGCATGTGCATGGGAGATACGTCTGCGGCACACTGCTCTGAAGGAATGGTACGGGTATGCTGTTCCTTCAGAGCGCATGCGCCGATGATGCCACCAGCTGCTGCTCACAAGTATATCTCCTAAACGGTGCACACTTAGGAGATATTAATTTTACCTACAGGTAAACTTTATTATAAGCTTACTTGTAGGTAAAAGTATAAAAAAGTAGTTTACTACCACTTTAACAACCAGCTATTGGTCACAATCTCGTAGCAACATCGGCCTACACCGGCCGAACCTGGTGTTATACTACCAGAGCCATCAGCTTGCCAAACTGGTTTTATGTAAGAAAATTGTTTTTACTTCACCTCTGCCTATACATGGATGTTAATATTTTTTAATAAAAAGTGAAATGCTTGAGCGTACTTCACTATGGAGGAATGTACATTTTTTATCCATTGGCGACATTGGCTACTAAATACATTGGTCTGCTGCAGTGGAGCCGGTTTTGTTTATGGTGTGCTGAGTGTATCCTAACCATTTATTGTATCATTTTATGGTACCCACCTGATCTGGTAAGAGGCCCTTTTGCACTGTGTGAAAAGTGGCGGATTTCCTTAGCATTGACCGGTCATATCACATTGAGTGGTAGAAGTTTATTTGTCACTTACAAATGTGTCTTTTCTTTGGAATAAGGAGCTTTATTGAAGGACACTATTTATTTTCGTTTTTTTGCATATTTTATGTTTGGATTTTTTTTTTTTATATATGACACATTTATATTTTGTTTGTGAATTCACTTTCATATTAATAGTTTCAGTTATCACTAATTAGCGCTGCCTTTTGTTTATATATTAGTCACAATGAATTTAAACGTTATCAAACTAATTTGAAAATATGATGTAATCTGTGTCTTTATGGACCTTGCTTTGTACATTGGTGCGCAGTCTTGTTGGAACAGGAAGGGGCCATCTCTAAACTGTTCCCACAAAGTTGGGAGCATGAAATTGTCCAAAATGTCTTGGTATGCTGACGACTCACGTTCAATAAGTTTGACATTCACTTATCACCCTAACCACTTTTTGTGGTTCTTATTGAGCACTTTATTTAGTGTGTTTACATATGTTATAACACTCATGTCACATCATCAGCACTTTATATGGTTTTATTTGAATAAGTTATTGTTCGTATTAAGCACCTTTGTACATATATTATTAGCGCTGCACCCAATTTCACGGACTTAAGAGTTCCCTTCACTGTAACTAAAGGGCAAAGCCCAACCCCTGAAAAACAACCCCACACCATAATCCTCCCTCCACCAAACTTTACATTTGTCATAATGCAGTCAGGCAAGTACTGTTCTCCTGGCAACCGCCAAACACGTCTATTGGATTGCCAGACAGAGAAGGGTGATTTGTCACTCCAGAGAACGTCTTCACTGCTCTAGAGTCCAGTGGCGGCATACTTTACACCACTGCATCCAATGCTTTACATTGCACTTGGTGATGTAAGGCTGGGATTCAGCTGCTCGGCCATGGAAACCCATTCCATGAAGCTCTCTACGCACTGTTGTTGTGCTTATCTGAAGGCCACATGAAGTTTGGAGGTCTTTAGCTATTGACTCTGCAGAAAGTTGGTGACTTCTGCGCACTGTGCTCTTCAGCATGCGCTGACCCTGTTCTGTCATTTTATGTGGCCTACCACTTTGTGGCTGAGTTGCTGTTGTTCCCAGTTGCTTCCACTTTGTTATAATGCCACTAACAGTTGACAGTGGAATATTTAGTAGCAAGGAGATTTCATGGATGGACTTATTGCACAGGTGGCAACCGATCACAGTACCACGCTTAAATTCACTGAGCTCCTGAGAGTGACCCATTCTTTCACAAATGTTTGTAGAAGCAGTCTGCATGACTAGGTACTTGATTTTGTGGCCATAGAGGTGATTGGAACACCTGAATCCAATGATTTGGAAGGGTGTCCCAATACTTTTGGCAATGTAATGTACAGTATATGCACATCCAGTGGTCACTTGCAGTTAGATGTCCACCCCTGGACTCAAACTATCACATGACTTTGTTTATAAACAAAAGAGTAAGAATATTGCTATGCCACATTCACACAGAAAAAAAGTGCCCTCCTGCAGATTTCTGTGGCACATTTACTGAAAATAGTGGCCCAGATATCAGGTGTTCCCATGATCAGTGACCACAGGTAACTGCTGGATGTGTGGATACATGTGTATAGATGCTTAGAGCTGCAGAGAGCTGCAGCACCTATCGGTCTGTCATCAGTGGTACAGGCTTAGCAGCAACCAATCTTTGGAACACCTGGGATCCTAGCTACAAGTATTTGCAGTATTTTTCTGCAGGAGGGCACATTTGCCAATGTGAATGAGGCCTAGCAATAATCTTTCTCCTTTCTCAAAAGCCATGTAATTTCCATGAGAATGCAATGAACACAGTTGAATCAGTATGTGAATTAATTAGATCTGATGCTCTACAGATAACCCAAGGGTCACGCATCTCCTTAAACAATTTCATGGGTGCGTATTAAACCACCATGCTCTGTCATTTTAAGTGGCCTACCACTTCGTGACTGAGTTTCTGTTGTTTGCAAAGGCTTCCACTTTGTTATAATACCACTAACAGTTGACCGTGGAATATTTAGTAGCAAGGAAATTTCACGGATGGACTTATTACACAGATGGCAACCATGCTTGAAATACACTTTTTAATCAGAGTATAGCATCAAGTCAATTAAACTCCTGGGATATTGATCTGGTCAATAATATATATATATATATATATATATATATATATATACAGTTGTGTTCAAAATAATAGCAGTCAGACATCACTAACCTGATCAATCACTGTTTTTGGTAGAAATTATATTTCTACATGGCAAATAATTTACTAGCAGGTGTAGTAGAGTAATAGAAGTCCAACAGACCCAACAGTCATGACATGCATGTTGCTGATTCTGTGTAATTGAATCACTAATTGAAAGGGGCATGTTCAAAATAATAGCAGTGTGGAGTTCTATTAGTGAGATCATTCATTCTTTGAAAAAAAGGTGGTAATTATTGCCCTTATTTAAGGAAGGAAGGCAGCAAATGTTGTACATGCTGGTTGCAGTGCATTTCTCTCTGAAATTCTGAGGAAAATGGGTCGTTCCAGACATTGTTCAGAAGAACAGAGTACCTTGATTAAAAAGTTGATTGGAGAGGGGAAAACATATAAAGAAGTGCAGAAAATGATAGGCTGCTCAGCTAAAATGATCGCAAATGCTTTAAAATGGCAACCAAAACCTGACAGACGTGGAAGAAAGCGAAAAACTACCATTCGAATGAATAGAAGAATAGCCAAAATGGCAAGGACTCAGCCAACAATCAGCTCCAGGAAGATCAAAGAAGGTCTAAAGTTACCTGTGAGTACTGTTACAATTAGAAGACGCCTATGTGAAGTCAAGCTATCTGCAAGAAGCCCCCGCAAAGTCCCACTGTTAAAAAAAAAGACATGTGCTGAAGAGGTTACAATTTGCCAAAGAGCACATTGACTGGCCTAAAGAGAAATGGTGCAACATTTTGCAGACTGATGAAAATAAGATGGTTCTTTTTGGGTCTAGTGGCCGGAGACAGTTTGTCAGACGACCTCCAAACACTGAATTCAAGCCCCAGTACACTGTGAAGACCATGAAGCATGGTTGCGCAAGCATCATGATATGGGGATGTTTCTCATACTACGGTGTTGGGCCTATTTATCGCATACCAGGGATCATGGATCATTTTGAATACATCAGAATACTTGAAGAGGTCATGCTGCCTTATGCGGAAGAGGAAATGCCCTTGAAATGGATGTTCCAACAAGACAACGACCCCAAACACACCAGTAAACGTGCAACATCTTGGTTCCAGACCAACAAGATTGACGTTATGGAGTGGCCAGCCCAATCCCTGGATCTTAATCCAATAGAAAACTTGTGGGGTGACATCAAAAATGCAGTTTTTGACGCAAAACCAAGAAATAGAGAAGAACTGTGGAATGTAGTCCAATCATCCTGGCTGGAATACCTGTTCACAGGTGCCAGAAGTTGGGTGACTCCATGCAACACAGATGTAGAGCAGTTCTCAGAAACAGTGTTTATACAACTAAATATTAATTAAGTGATTCAAAGGAAAGTAAAATCTTCAAACATTTTTCAGTTTATATAGTGAATGTTTGAGTTTGTAAAGAAGAATACAAACACTGCTATTTTTTTGAACAATCTAATATTCACTTTTCTTCAATTTTTTTTAGAGGAACAACACAAATTTGATATATTTTTCTTCATGTTTTGATTTGGAATAGAATGTGTAGTGTTCCCAATGCATTTGTGTGTATGGAAATAAAAGCTATTAGAAGGATTTTGAGCTTTATTCACTTTTTTCAACACACTGCTATTATTTTGAACACAACTGTATATATATATATATTTACACTGTTCAACTGTGTAAATATTACACTGGTATCAAATCCTTCATTTTCCAGGAACTGCCTGTATACTCTCGCCACATGAGGCTGGGCATTGTCGTGGACCAGGAGGAACCCAGGAACCACTGCACCACTGCAAGGTCTGACAATGGGTCCAAGGATTTCATCCTGATACTGAATGGCAGTCAGGGTGCCATTGTCTAGCCTGCAGAGGTCTGTGCGTCCCTCCATGGATATGCCTCCCCAGACCATCAATGACCCACCACCAAAATGGTCATGTGAACGATGTTACAGGCAGTATAACATTCTCCATGGCTTCCCCAGTCCCTTTCATGTCTGTCACATGTGCTCAGGGTGAACCTGCTCTCATTTGTGAAAAAGCACAGGGCACCAGTGGCGGACAAGCCAATTCTGGTGTTCAATGGCAAATGCCAATTGAGCTCTATGGTGCCAGGCAGTGAGAACAGGGCCCACTAAAGGACATCAAGCCCTCAGGCCACCCTCATGAAGTCTGTTTCTGATTGTTTGGTCAGAGACATTCACACCAGTTGCCTGCTGGAGGTAATTTTGTAGGGCTCTGGCAATGCTCTTCCTGTCCCTCCTTACACAAAGTAGCAGATACCGGTCCTGCTGATGGGTTAAGGACCTTCTACGGCCATGTCCAGCTCTCCTAGAGTAACTGCCTGTCTCCTGGAATCTCCTCTATGCTCTCAAGACTTTGAGACCTTCTAGACCTTCTGGCAATGGCACATATTGATGTGCCATCCTGGAGGAGCTGGACGGCCTGTGCAACCTCTGTAGGGTCCAGGTATAGCCTCATGCTACCAGTAGTGACAATGACCCTAGCCAAATGCAAAACTAATGAAAAAAGGGGTTTATTTATTTATTTGTCTAAGCCATTGATATGGTGTTAGATGTAGTATATTAAAACAGATATTAGTTGGCAATGGCCTGCCATTCAGGCACACTCACACTTGACAGAACAGCCCTCTGGAACTTTTAAGCTGAACAGCATGACTTAACTGGAGAGCAGAGCACTCAGGTACTGCATTTCCCAGAGGAGGTAGCGTATGGGTGGGGGCACATGAATATCAAAACCCGGGAGACTGAGCAGGAAGTGTGAGGGGAGAGGTGTAAGTGTGCTGATGGCTAGAGTACTCAACCAGGCTGCGGAGCCAGATCTGGACAGGGAGAAGAAGCAGAAAGAGCCCTCTGATCATCAGTCTTGCCATGCTGCCCAGTGAGTCAATCTGTTAGCAGGAGACCAGGCGGAATGACGAATCAGGTCTGGAAAGTCTGTGGAGGCACCCATTTGCTGAGAAAGACGGACTGCTAAGATCTGCTGGACATCACTGTATGGGAGAGTCCCATACACCCACTAAGTGAACACGGACAATTTCTTCATATCAGTTATTTACCTGCACATAGTTGCGGACAATACATATAGTTACCCCAATTTGCAGTTTAGTTGTCTCAACCACCATCGTTGGAATACATTTGCATTACAGTCTCATCATCCAAGCTGACTGCAGGGCACACAGCTGCAGGCCAGAATACTTCCCAGCCGAATAGGATTTTTAAATACTGTTATCTTTGGCCTTTGACACCAAGAGAGAGTTGTTCTTGCTCATAGACACTTATGCCAATTGGTACACTTCACTACTTCAAATCTGTCCTTATATAGTGTCTTAAAGGGGACCTTGTACTAATTCACTACCATCAAGAGAAGTACTAAATTTTCTTTTTTTTCCCTCATTATCCTTTATGCGATTATCCTGAGAAAATTTCATCTACTTCTGTCAGGAATGGACTAGCCAGCAATGGTGGGACTCACCTGCCTTTTGATCTGCAGTACCAGGGCTGGCCAGCGGGTGCTCCCCGCAATCAGAGACTCAACTTTGCAGCCAGCTAACACCTGGAACTGATTATGCTGGGGTATTTAAGGGATGGCCAGACTTGCAGACTCTGCCTTGGTGTTGTGTTCTCTTGGGCCCTGTATCCTGTTCCTGCTCTCTGTTCCTGTCTGATTCTCTGCTGACCCTGCTCTGATCCCTGGCTTGTCTGACCATCCCTCTGCCTGACCCTCTGTACTACGCTGCTTGCTACCTGTTCTGATCCCTGGCTTGTGACCCTGACCATCCCTCCGCCTTACCCTCTGTACTACGCTGCTTGCTACCTGCTGAACCTGGCCTGTGACCCCGACCCATCTCCGCTTGCTCCCCCTGTACCTACCTGCCCTATTGATATTGACCCGGCCTGCCTGACGACGCTTGCTTGTATGTACTGTTATCTGTGGGTGGTTGGTTTGGTTTGGTTTGGTTGCACTGTATTATGTTTTAGTATTGCACTGCGTTTATGTTTGTATTGTTAGTGTTAATAAATTATATTGTTTATAACATATCTGAGGTCTGCGTTTCCCTGCGTCAGCCACACACCT